AGCCCTCTGCGTCATCGTGCTTTGCTGTGTCTGCAGATTTCATCAAGATACTCTGAATTTCATCACCCTGGTCAATATCAAATTGCATGAGCCCTAGGACGGATTTTAGAGGAATCCAAACTCCACACATCATTTGTGGTTGATGTTACTCAGAGTCTAAATATCCAACCAGCACTGCATGTCTCTACTTTTTATCAAGATCGCATTTTCTCAGCTCTCTAACACACCTGTTGGAAAGGACAATGTCAAAAGTCTCACTAGTACCAAGGTAACCTTCCCATAGTGCCTGTTACTTCAGCACAATTAGTTTGCTCTGTTTATTCTTGATAAATCCATTCTGGAATGTCCATTATTTCCTGGATGCCTTCTAGATGGTTTGTTTTTCCTAGCAGTTTCTTAAGACCTGAAGCCTGATTGACAAATTAGGAACCTCAGGTTTTTGCATTTTGGGGGCTTGTTTTGGTTTTGTTGGGGGTTTTTTTTTAGGGTGGGGATGAAAACAGGATTTGCCATTTTCTACCCTCTTGTAACAAATGCAGATTTTAATTTCAGGAAAGCACAAACGATGGCCTCTCTATACCGATCAAGTGTCGGAATACAGCAGTACCTAAAGAGTTAATAATTTTAACAAGCCCTGGATAAGCTTTCTGTAGGAAGAGCATTTCCTCCTCTTCGTTTGAATTGAAGTATAAATTTGTTCTAGCTTTAGATACCGCCAGTATAGCCACGAACCATGACAAGCTAAGGTCACTGAATTGTGCAAAGCTTCGTTTTCAAGGTCTGCAGGTTTGTGGGTTTTTTAAAACTAAAAATAACAGAGTTGGAATTTGTGGTCATGGTCAAACAGTGATAAAATTAAGAACAGATAAAGCCACAAATAAAATTTTTTTGAGACTCGCAAGCTCAGTTTTGTTGAAGGAGGGGAAGTAGTGCCATTTAATCAAAAGCACAAAGCATCAAGTGTTTGTTACAGTGAACAGAGAAGCCAAGGCTCAAAGAGGTCTGAAATTCAATGCTGAAGACTGCTTTTCTAAAGCACAGCCACAGCACAGGAGAGATGGAAACAAGGAACACGACATTCATTTGCCTAGAAGTGTTTGTTACAAAAACACATCACTTGCAATGAGACATGCTTTGCAATAGCAATATGCAGTAATAATATTTAGTACAGCTGCTAGATGAGCTTTCAACTTAGTCATCACCACCTAAAAATGTTCAGGCTCAGCGGCAGTATAACTACACCTTTCTCTCCCCTAACTTCAACTGGACCCAGCAAAGCACATCTATGATAACCAAAAAGTTGGCTTGTTATTCAAGAGATAAGAATTTAGCTCTTAGCATAGTGTTTAAAGTAAACAATCTTTTGACATGTGAAAGTGCTCGGAGCCTGGCCAAAAAGTTCATGCCAGTTCTATTTTTTTTCTTGCTTCTTGTTCTGAGTGAATTCATAAGCCTTACTTAAGTTGTTTTGGTTCATCAAATGTCTTTTAGGCTATTTTGGAGTATTAAAGAGACTCCATAGATTTATTTTTTTTTTAAAACAACTGAAGAGGAGAACATTAAGGTATATACACTAGAGTCAAACAACACTTATCATCGTTGCATTTGACAAATGCTCCAAGTGGCACAGTCAGAAAGAATCTGAGCAAAAGGAGAATCTGAGCAAAAGGAAACCTTTCATCATGTAAAACAATGCCATTGTGCCACAGCCTGCCTAATGCCAAGTGGGCTTCAGAAGAATCATCCCTTCAAATACTTCATAGTTTTAAAATTTTAACATCTGACCAGAGAAGTCCTGTGAAAGACCAAGGAAAAAAAGACAGCAGCAGCAGCTCACTTGGCTTTGCAGAGTGGCCATGTTAGACTGCGGGAAATCCCACTAGGCAGAAGAAAAATAACACTGCAGTGCACCAGGTGCCCAATTACCCAGGCAAGATACAAGGGAGAATGTGGGAATCGCTCTGGAGACTGCCAGCCTCAGAGGGGGCAGCTTGTGGGAGTAAAGCAAAGCAAAGTGGAACACGTCACATCTAGCAGAAGGACTGGGGACTCTGCAGAGCAACGGAGTGAGCGAGCGTACACTGAATGAGAAAATGACTGCATCTAGCTATGGTCAACTAGTATTGCCCTGTGAGATCAAGAAGAAACATGATAGAGTCTGCCCCATTACAAGTTTTACTTTTAAATGCATCGTCTGTTTCATGATTAACCTGATGTCTATGATTAGCCAGAAGATTTTAGCCTGAGAAAGTTCTTATTCAAAAGAGACAAGTGATAAACAAATTTGTACTAAAATAAAACTAGAGCTTGATCACTTGCTGCAACAGCCTACAGTTTCCTTTAATATAGGGCAAGGAATGATTGGTAATACTCGGTGACAGCTGCTCACTGAATGGCATGAAGCCGTACATAAAAAACCAAAATTCCAACTCTTCTGTGATATTTTAACACGTGTGGAGGTCTCTCATCCAGCCTCCTATTTGAAGCAGAGCCATCACCAGTGCTAGATTAGGGCAGTTGTATCTTTGCTGAGCTAAGACCTGAACCTTTTCACAAAGGGAGATCCACCACCTTTTATAAATTGCTTCCCGTCCTTTGTCACTCTCCTTGTGAGGAAGTTTTCCCTGAAGCCCTTCAGAACCTCCCATACTAAAACTCAGAGCTGTAGCTCCTTGTTGTATTTTCTAGGGCTTGACCCCACCACCTTGTAACTACCCTCCCAACAGCCATAAGTTCCTGTTAGATCACCCTGCACCTTCTCTTCACAGGCTAAACCAGCCCTGCTCCCTCCATCTCTCCTCATAGCTCATGTCCTCTAGGACCCCGACCACTCTGGACTCTCTCCAGCTTTTCAGCATCTTTTAAACTGGGAAGCACAAAACAGGACATGGTATTTTAAGTGTGGCCTCCCCAGTGCCATACCAAAGAGGCAGTAACTACCTTCAATCTGCTGCTCCTGCTTTTCCTAAGGTAACCCTGCATGTGGTTTGCCTATTGCATGATGGGCGTAGTGTTGGCTTATATTCAATTTCATATTCAAAGAAGTAAATCTATGATTCATACACTGGGTTTTTTAGTATAGTAAATTGAGAGCTAAACACCCAGAGGCTAGAATGCATTTGAGCAGTGCCTTTAAAGAGTCATGGTGGATAGAAAGTCAAAACCAGCACGGATCAGCAGAGGATAATACTGGGGGCCCTTAGAACTTCACGTCAGACTGATAGGCATGGGCACGATCGCTCTTTCCAGTCTAAAAACAGTTCATTGGCTTTGAGGTCAGAAAGATGAGCCTGCATTAGTGCAGCAAACCAAACAAGGAAAGTCTCTGTCCGGAGCACCAGCTTAGTCACTGAGAAGTTTGTCCTAAAGTACCCTACCAAATCCTGTTTCACTCTGCAGATCGCCTCTCACCCATGGAAAGGGCAAGACAAACAGGCAACTGCTACAGAAAGGCTGCTTAAAGTGCAAACAGAAGGCACTGAAAGTATCAAAGAGACTGTTACAAGAACCTACGCTGGACTACAAAAGTTAAAAGGCTCCGAACGGAGTCTTGTATGTAAGATAAGTTAACATATAACATGTTGTATGTTATTTAATATCTAAGATGGAGACTTTAGACTCAGATGTTTTCTTCAGACCCTGCGGTCAATACACAGAAAATGAGAGTATGAATTCATCACTGCATGGTCAGTATCAAAAAGCTACTGTACAATACAATTTAGGCAGGATGGGAACCTCAAATAATGGCAAAAATCAGGACAGTCATGTGGACGTAGATGCTTAAGAGCAGGAAAATTCAAGGTAGAAAAGTGAGCCCAAATTTGCCTGGCAACCGGGGAAGATAGCTACACAGCAAAGGTCACAACAACAAAAAAAAAAGCTTCTGTAATTTTAAACTGCAACAAGAGATACTCCCTATATGAAGACAAGCAAAAATCTGTGCTGACATGGGTCTTCGCCGGTCAATATTTAGAAAAAAATACCCCACAAGAGTAGCCACTGCCTCAGAGATTTGTCACAGAGCTTAGCTGAGGAAGCCTGCTTGTATCCAGACCTTTCCCCTTTGAGAGTCAGTCAGTTGACTGAAAACCAGCAATAGAATCAGAAGTTACTGAGCAATTTATTAACTAGTAGAGCAGGTAGCAAACATTACAAGTTCAATAATCATTGATTTAGAAGGTACTTGACCTGTAAGGGACCTCAAACTAGGTTAAAAAACGTTATTCAAATATTTTCATTCAGATCTTGTGATGCTGGAGAGTGCCTTTCAAGTATGCAATGCACTCAATCATTCCACAGGTCTTCACGTGCTCACACTACAAACTAATATTCAATCCATTGGTATAAATGAAACGCAGGAAGAGTAGTGCAAGAGGCCGTTTTGTAGGCACCCTGGTTCCCGGTTTTCTGGCAAGTCTCCATCTGCATTAATGATTCCCAATTGTTAATTTCTTAGCCCTCCCATCCTTGGCATCTCTTAGGACTTTTACATTTTCTTATCTCAGCAACACCTTGTTTACATATGGTGCTGCTTGTCAACTCCAGAGACCACAGGAAGAAATTTGCTTGTGAAGGATCTGCAGCTTTTTTGGAAGTTATGCTCTTCTGCTGAGAAGTGAGACTTTACCAGACGGGTGCTCCTCAGCCATCAGGATAAGCAAATGAGGTTTTCTTACTGAGAGAAGGCAAAACCAACACCACAAGAAAGCAACAAAGAGCCACTGGGCAGGCTTCCTATGGTTACTAACTGTTCTGTATCTTCAGCTTTTCAGTACTAAGGATTTGGAGTTACCTGAACAGCACTTGGGTTTTGTCCCCAGCAAGCTGGGCTGATGAAAGGAACATGCTCTTTTGGGTTCCCACACAAACACAATTCCCAAGATTTGATTGGGTGTCGATGAGACAAGTGTCAAACCCTGTCGAACCGAACCATGAAACAGATGGTGCCCTTCAGAACAAAAGCAGGAAAACGTGAGGCAGTGTATTTGACCCTGCAGTACCTGACTGGAAGACATATCTGGCTAAGCCTTGCATTAACTCCGCTGGCCAGGTAGGTGGTGCCGACTCCCCCGTTTCTCTCTTTAGTCGAAATGTCAACTCAAATCCGAAACCACTTGGTCCATCTGTTCCTGTAAACCTGGACAGAACGAAAAATGAAAAGTCATAATATACTTCTTGTAACCAGAGCAAGCTTCAAGATTAGAGCCATGGAAAAATGATAAGCATTCTCCTCATAGAAAATAGAAGTTTGGAAATTCTCTTATTTCGGACTACCGTAGCTTGAATGGCATGACATTGTTAGGTTAGCTGACTTAATACAATTTCAAAGATAACTATCACAGTAGTGTTTTCAGTCAGAATACTGGAGCCTTGGAACCAGAATATCTTTCCTGGGACCAGTGGGACTTTCATCACCCTGAATTTGTTTTTAAAACATCATTGTAAGTTTTGCACCAATAGCTAAATGGGAACATCAAAGAAAGTGCCTAACAAAAAATAATTTTATTCCACCCTTGTGAATTCAGATTTCTATGCACTGAAAAGTGGGATGCAACTAAAGTACTGGGTAGTAGGTCTCTGGGTTGAGAGAGCTGAATATTTCGATGTACAGCACACAATTTCTGCGTTATGGATGGTCAGTGTGGGGGGCGAGGAACAAGAAGATGCACACAGAAAGTTAATAATCTCTCACACAATGCACTAATTCTTATTTTGTTCCAATATATGTTTATGCACATTATGCTTATGTATCTAAGAGGACAACAGTGGAAAAGCACTGAATATGACAGCTACTATTCAAGAAGCAGTAGTTTGGCCGTTTCCCTATTTGACAGAGATAGATATCAATTTATTTGGTTTGGTCAGACAGGGTCTACCCAGAAGAATGAAGTCATATGAGAAGTACCAAAGTTATTTTGAAAAGGAGTGAATAAAGGATACCACGTTATTCTTTCCTTCAACAAAACTAGTCCTTGAGAATCCTGTATTTTATACTCATACATAAGGGAAAGTTTCTGTTCCAAGTCACAAACAGCTAAAAATACCACATATTCCAGTGAAAAATGAGAAACCTCATGGATGAATACATTGCCCTCACACAAGGCAAGTTGGGGACATCCATGTCCTTTCTACCACTGTCATCACATCCCTCACTTGTTTGCTGTGGTTGTACCACAAAGGCAGAAGAAATAAGGATTTATACTGAGCATAAAGACACCAGAAGCTTTCATAAACCAGTATCATTCTGCAAGTTCAAATCCCCAACACCTGCAGCCATTGGCAAATTCTCTGGAGAAACTTTGCAAACGTCTTGGATGCTGATACCTTGCTGGCACACATGAAAGATACAGTGCACAAAGTGTTAACATTGTGCTATTTCTAAAACCAGCCAAACGGAGAAGTCGGGGAAGTGATGAGAGCATTTTCCGTTCGAAAAACACAGCTCACCAGCAGCACAGCGACCAGCTCCAAGTGTTCCATGGATTGGTCCAATAGTAAGCAGCATGAAACAGAAATGTTTTACAGCAACTGTGCCTAATCACAAGTGTTAAAAGTGATCAAACTTAAGCACCGATGCAATGCCTTCATCATGCAAAGTAACTTTATTTGAGGATTCAAGGAAAGTTTGATTGTGGTAGGTTTTCAAATGATGAATCAAAAGTAGTTAAGAAACGCACCCAAGAGTAGAACTAAACTATGGGACAGCCCAAAGAGATAACAGCTCTGACTGAAAACAAGAGAGCAGGTATTGAAAGTCAGTCAGACATCTACAATAAAGGGGAGTAGACAATGTGACAAATGAAGATTTTCTTTCATTTTTATAAAAATATACAAGCATGTCCATTTTTGTTTCCCTCCTCAACAAAGAATTTGAGAATTACATACTACCTAAGTAAATTCTCTATGAACAGAGCCGATAATGCATTTCAGAATGATCAACTGGTACATATAAAACCTATTTTAGGAAACGAGTGTACCTGTAAGCAACAAGTCAAATAGTTACATTTGGTTCTTAAACAAAGCAGGAGTTTACTGAATAACCAGCCAGCCAGGGAGCTGAATCTGGATGTGCAGCGAAACCTGTGCTCTGCAATCATGCATGCAGGTCCACCAAAAAAACTGGGACAGGATGGCAACAGCCTTACAAAGGCAAAGCTGAACTTCGTACGTACAGCATCCCTGTAGTGTTTTATTAGTTTCACACATCAGTTAGCAAAGGAAAACCAGAAATATTTCTTACAGGGAGAAACAAAAACACTTCAAAGTGTTTTCAAGGGTAGTTTTCAAGGACTGGTTCCAGGAAAAAACACACACCAGAAACTGAAATACATTATGAATGGATCGATTTTAAGAAGGATCAAAGTTAACAAAAAGCCTTCAAGCTGATCTTTCACAGTTAAAATTTTTGGAAAGTAAGATGGCTCCCTATTGAATTTCCTCCTTTCAAGGCATGTTCTGAAACAACACAGCTTTACTTCTGATATGCATCACGCTATGCATCATGCTAGTTTAGCGGGGTTTTTTTTGGTTGGTTTTTTGTTTTGTTTTTTAACTCCATGGACCTCTCTGCTTCCCAGAAACAACTGTTTAAGAGAAGACCACAAATGCCTCATCTTGATCCATACGCAAGTTACTGAATAACAGAAGTGTTCAGGTGAGAATCGATTGAATTTAAAGCAAGACAAGCATTGAGGAGAACATTGCTGGTCAGCAACATATCAGTAGTCGCAAAGTAGTAAAACTGACAGGCAATGTTACTTACACTAGTTTTTGTATGGTAATGAAAGAGACACTAAACCAGAGAAGAACTACTAGAAGATAAAAAAAATAAAAGATAAGGAAAAGAATAGTAAGCTACTTCCCTTCTAAGATTCAAAAAAATCCCTGAAGAATCAAAAGATGAATCTTTTAAAAAAGAAAATGCAGCAGCATACAATGCTTATAATTCTCAAATTAACAATTACATCTTAGAAAAATCCTATTTTCATGTAAGAGATTTGTACTTAAAGATTAGATTTAAAATGTTTTTGAATAGTTAAAGGTCATAGGTTGCTGAAAATACGACTGCTTTGTTACAATGAAATCTTAAATACACACAATTCACCTGTATTGTGCAGCTGTTCTGAGGTAACAGTCTATAAAGTAAAAGTCTTTGATCTGTTTAATTTTAGGTTGGTAATTTGTTTTTGAAGAAATTGTGACACATGTGGCTTTAAAAGCTTGTGATTATTTTAGAAATCCTTTATGTTTAATTCAGACAAGTCTTTCCTAGGAAGAAATATTAATATTCAGAATTTAATTAGGATAGTAATTTTCAGTTAGCATTTTTGCCAAAGCTTTTGCTTTTATTTAAAAAAAAAAAAAGTCTTGTATTTGAAAGTATGTTGAAAGTAGCTTCAACAGCTGCCATAAAATTTCTCAATGAACAACAGACCATATTCCAGTACCAGAGCTCCTGGCCGAGGTTCGGAGGATGTACATGAGAATGGAGGCAGATGTGAGCTTCAGGAACTAAATAAATCTATAGCCCTGTCACATGCCTCTGACTCGGTCTAACAAAAATCACAGAGAAGAATCCAGTAGTCGAGTTATGCAGCTTGGCTTCTCTTACAGAAGTCCTTTTCACTAGGGAGAGAGCACTTACACTGGCCCCACCTCCAAAATTTGTGAGGATAAGGACACATCAGTCCACTGGCAGAGACAAGTAGCAGCCACAGCCAACAAACGCATGAGAAATGCATTTGCCCAGTAAGAAGCCCAAGACCTCCAGACACGAGTCATATAGAAGACCAAGCAAATGGCTTTTTATGCCCCACAAGGATAGAGACTCCTCTTTTATATCTGGGTTGTAAGCAGCTGCTCATTGCCTCGAATCACCTGTGTCCATTTTTGTCCAAGGCCTTACCGAGAAGACAAAAGATGCACCTATTTTAATCAAGAAACCCATCCATGATGGGGGAGCTAATAAAGTGAGATTTCCCATAAACAAGTTAATTTATACCAAGATGTTCCATTACTTCCATGTGGAAACACTGGACACCCACGGCAGCCTCCTCTTTGTAGGGTACATCCCCAGTTCTTGGGGGTGATCTTAGGAGGCTGCCGAGGAACTGGACAAAAAAGGATCATGCCTTGCAAGCTTGTTGATGCTCAAACTCATGCTCCTTCCCACAAGTTCCCAGTTTTCACCAAACTTTCAGAAAACTTCCAGAAAAGTCAACCACCTTCAGCCAGTCAACCAACAAGCTAAAAAACCCCCAAAACTTCCAGAAGAGACAGACTGAACAAGCCTCATTTCCACAGAAAACTGGGTGGAGGGATGAGGATAACCCATAGATGGAAGAAGTCCTGATAAAGCACACAGAAGTCAGCAAACACTCATGACCTGTAAAGAGACAGTATGGATTGTATTGTGCCTGCCACTGCTCTGCCCCCCCAACACGAGGGCACATCACCTTCATAGCCAACCCGATGGTGAAGCAGCCAGCTAAGTTTTCACGAATAACAAACATCGATGGAGAAATTCTTGGCTTGCTGTGTGCCCACTGGCACACATCAGATAGTTTTATATTATGACTACAGCAGTATGGAAGGCTCTGGTATCTGCCAAGTCAAATCCAACCCCATATTTAATATTAAAACCTTATTTTGTCGCATGAACAAAAATAAACCTTTCGAAAGCCAAGGTCATACAGTACTTGCTATTCTTTGGGTTAAAACTCTCTTTATCTGTTCAGCAAATCAGCTCAGCAGAACAGACCACATTGCAGCACCGCACATACGCTGAAGGAGCCTGGCTTGTTCCTTTAATGAGGTAAGAGTTTCACTGATCGTGATATTTAGTTCCAGCAAAAGAATCCAAAGAAATAGCGGCCCCTTTATTTACGGGACCGTGCGGCCGGGCCCCCGAGCCGCCCGGGCCCTCCTGAAGCCACACACAGAGAACTGAAAAGCTGCTCCCCTCTGCAGCAGAGTACCCAGGGCGTTTTTCACATCAAATAACCCAGCTTAAGAGGATCAAAAGGCAAACTAGCCCTTTGCTTAAAAAGCAGTTCTGAAAACCACAGGCTTTTCAGTTTAAATCAAAGCTATTTGCCAAAGCAGTTTGGTTCTCACTTCTGCAAGGAACAAGAGAAG